AAGAAAAAAACAGGGCATTTTTAAAAATTTAAAGAAAAAAAAAAAAAAAAGAAAAAAAAAAAAACCAACCCTAAACTATTCTTAATTTTGTTTAGAGAAAATCTTATAGCACTATAATGGAAAATGTTTCACAATATCACCTTTGCAACCCAAATTTTTTGAATTAAGAACTTGTATTTTAAATCACTGTCACACAAAAGCAAAAGCATAAGTTGGAATGGCAGGGATGGGGAGAATGAGGAAGAGGTGAGCACAGCAGTATATTGTATCCAAGCCCTAAGAATCCAACGTTTTTATGTTTCAGATATTGAAACTGGAGGAAAGGGCACCCTTCCTACACGTTACACTATAGTGGTGCTTGGAGAAGTGAGGGCTGATTTTAAAACACACCACATAATGTGATGATGTCTACATGCTTCAATGTGAACTTAGTGTTTGATCCACTAGCTCCGCTAAAGGATGGGAGCCTTAATACTTAGTTCTTTGAAATGGTGAAGCAAAAAGATAGCCATTTCAGAGGGAAAACATCTTACATATTCCATTAGCTATGTTATCAATCTAATACACTTTTTGAGTAAGAAAGGAAGACAGTCAGGATGGGTATAGAAACAAACAAGGAAAAAAAATCAGCATTTTGCATCAACACTCTACCAAACCCTAATATTAATGGGTAATAATCCAGGTTAATGGCCTGAAAAAAAGACAAGCTTTTACACATTTAAAAATTATACTTGATAAGCTCTTGAATATTTACCAACTAGACTTAATAAAAGTCTCCCTTTATGAGGGTATAAAAAAAAAATCAAAGCTGCTAAATTAATACTAGAATCCGTAAATTTCTAAAAAGCAAGTTTTCAGGAGAATCTCCGCTCCCCTTTCCAAATAGGGCTTAAGCAAAAGCAATTTACAGAGTCAATTCTTAACAATGGTGTATGTGAAAGGCTTTAATCTAGCAGTTTGAAAAAGAAAAATAAATCCATGGTCTAATTCAGTACCATATACAGGCTTTCTAGTGTGCTCTTATGCAAGGAGACAAGGCACGTGGCAATTACTAGTCTTAGCCATTCTAATGTGAACCATCATTTAAACCAGTGGTTCTCAAAGTATTCCCCAACCAGTAGTTTCTGCATCACCTGGGAACTTGTCAGATGTGCAAATTCTCAAGCCCCACTCCAGACCTACTGAATAAGAACTCTGGGGGTGGTGCCCAGCATTCTGCATTTTTAAAGTCTTCCAGCAACTCTGAAGCACAAAGTCCAAGGACTAGTGACTTAAATGATCATTTCTGGTACTATTCCTCCAGATGAGATCAAAAGATAGTTAACATCTCCTATGTGCAAAGTACCACAGGAAAAATTCAGGTATAATTAAAATTTTCATTAGATATGAAGGAGTAAGTTTCTAAATGTAAGGCATCATTAAAATGGATGAGGAAATAATGCATTCACTAAATCAACTTAGGTATTAAAAGGTTATAAAAATGGTACAATCATTACCAATACTTTAATTAAAGTAGCAAAATAAAGCATAAATATTAGTCTCTAACTCCTTTTAAAAATTCAAGAACTGGCTAATGTGCTAATCCTACACATAAGCATTAAGTAGGTTACTAATGAATGAAAGCTCCTACAAATTTAATTCATACTTCCTATTTAGAATGCGACAATAATACCAACCACCTCTACACTACTACTCCTTGAGAAAAAAAAAATACAAATAACCAAAAAGAAATGTTACATTAAAGAAATGTTCTGGATTACATTTACCCACAACAGAAAACAATGTAGGGATAATCAGGTGTTTTGAAAATACAAGATAACCATTTGCAAAGGAATAGAAACTGATAAGAAGCTCAAGCACAGAAAACAAAACTACAATAACAAAAAGCAAAATGGTCCAATACAGTATCAATAATTAGAGATTATTCATGGAAAAAGTTTGTAGATTTAAAAAAGGTCAAATTCCACAGCAAATTCATTTTCACATGCACATAAAGGTCTGTACAATTTAAATTTCATCCCAAGGGTTCCTTGGTTATTTCTCCTTTATTTTCAAGTTATTGGTGAAAAAGTTCAAAAATATTTTTAGTTTAATAGGACATTTATTCACCAATAACTCAAAGACAAATCCAAAACACAAAGACATCAAACTTTAGAATGTGACTGAATCTTGATAAGGAACAGAATGAAAATTCCTCAGTTATTCTGGACTACCTGGCATATCTGGAAAAAAAAACAAACAAAATTCAACACATGTAAAACATTAATGGAAAAACTAAGAGCCTGTTATGGGTCCTGGTTCATTTTCACTTATTATAATTTGGTATTTCCAAGCTCTTATATACACCCACAGTCTCAATACTGCATTATTTAAATTGATCAAAACTAAATTAAACCAAATGTTATCTAAGCCTTTAAATACTTCAGCTTCTTTTTAAAAACAAATTTAGAAAAAGGAAGGAAAACAACAACAACAAAAAACAGAGACTGACCTCCAGTGGTGCATTTTACAAAGTTCTGAGTACTAATATTACTAGGATAAAAATAATTTTCAATCTAAAAATAGTTTGTAACTAATGGAATATAGAAAAAAATATCCTCAGATCAAGACTTGAAGAGATTTATGAGACCAAAAAGGGTATTATATTTATTCCTTTAATATTCCCATAGTAAATGCCCCTTAAAATAAACTTCCATACCATGTTATGTACAATGATCTTACAGAATAAATGCAGCAATGATAAATACACACAGAGACATTTTTGTACTTACCAACCCTGCTGCATACATGGGCACTATAACAGGTTGCTTCTTATTGCCCGTAAAGAGCTACACGAATGAGAGAGAGAGAACGTATATTTAGAGAATGATCTGTCATACAATGAAATACTTTCCAAAACATGCTTGTAATGCTTTGTTACATATATCGTGAATGACATGCCTACATAGAGTATATTTTTGATCTCCTAGTTCAATTCCTTCATTTTATAGTTAAGGAAAAACACTAAAACAACTTTTTCTAAAAATAAGAAATGTTGGAGAAAAATTTAGATAAATGTATGTTTAAAAGTTGGCATATTCAAAATATATGAACATTTATTTACACTAATACTTATTTTTCTGAGGAACTAGCTTATCACAGCTTGAACAGAAGTGTTAATGGAATTTAAAAACATCCACAGGTTGATTTAAAAATTTTCCAAGGTACTAACAAACTCACAATGTTTCGGGTGTCTATTCCCAAGGAGCACAAAAGCTTTTTGTTGCTATGGGAGCCACCCCATTGATATTTCAAGCCATGTGCATCGTGGATATCTTGTAGCTCCGTCCACACATTCAGCAGTTCCCTGTAAAGGTTACAATGAAGTCACCAGCAACAGGTTACTCAATAGCTTTAACCATGAGTTCTACTTTTAATGTGACTGTGAAATATTATACATTCCACTTAATGTTGAGTCTAACATGATTTTTCTGAATGAAATCTAAATGAAATCAACAGCCAATACTTATAGTCATTAGAAAAGTAACTACGTTAAACTCATTTAAAATAATATGCCAGTGACTTAAAATTTAGATGGTATGTTTTTCTTTAAGTATTAAAACAAAAATATTTAAAAGAAAGAAAGAAATCAACTTAGCATTCTACCTTACTACAGCCATTTAACATTTGTGTTTTCTCCTTGAGTCTCGAGCTATAATAACAGTTGCAATTACAGTGGATATATAATTTTGTGTTTTTTTCAGAATTTAAGCATATTCTCATCTACATATGTATCTTTTTCAATGGCAGTGTAATATTCTATTAAGACTGATGCACCATCATTTATTTAGCCATAATCCTATAGTTTTAAATAAGTTGTTTTTACTGTTCAGCTTCTACTGTTAGTAAGGCAAGAATATCTTCCTGTATTTTATGGTATGTGCTGTTGTTGAGTTGTTATGACTTTAGAATGAATTTCTTGGAGAGAGATTCCTGGGTCTAGAGTATGAACTATTTGTACAACTAGCAATTTTTTAAAAAAATGCATCCAAACAGTTTTAAGCTGGCAAAATATAAACCTTTTTGTTCCCTTCTATTCTCGGAAATCACCCCAAAACAAAAATCAGGAAGCAAAAATAATCTCCATCGTCAATGAAATTCAGAGATACTTAAGACCCTTAGCCACAAACACTGAAGTCACAAAGAGAGATGGAGAGACCTGCAGAGGAAGAGAATGCCTCCAGAGAGTAAGGAAATGCAAGAGAAGATCCAGGAATAAGAATAACATTGAAATCAAAATAAGAAAATCAATCTAGACCCTCTAACATCTAATAATTAATAGGAGTTCCAGAAATAAAAGAGACAATGGAGGGAAGGGAACGTCAATACAGGAGAATTGCCCAATGCTGAAGAGCAGAAGCCTCCAGATGGAAAGGTCCTACCTGGTGCTCAGTCCAATGAATGAAAAAAAAAATCATGTCAACGTATTTTATCATTGAGATTTTAAAACACCAGCAACAAAACATCCTACATTATAAATTTAATGTGAGGGTAGAATAAAATAAAACTTTATCTCCTATGTACTTTTTTCTCAGGAGGCTATTAGAGGATGTGCTCCACCAAAATGGGATCTTAGTGAAAGGAATGCCCCAAGACAACACAAGTTTAAGAGGCCTAGATTGAATCCATTCCAGATTGAAAAAGGAAGATGGAGGATCCCAGGAAAAAAAATGGAATGGCCAGCCTGATAGGTTTGCTCACAAACCTATCGGGAAAGACTTTGAAAATAAAAAAAAGAGAGGCAATTTTTAAGTCCAGGAAAAAGCTGAACTGTAAAGAAAATAGTAGCTAAGCAGTGAACACAATACTATTTACATGATTATATTAATGAAAATACCAAATAAAATTTAACCGAAAACTATAAGTATATTGGGATGATAAAGGGAGAATAGCAGATGTAAGATCTAAATTCTCATCTATCATACTACGAAGTCAAAAGATACTTGTAAGACTGATTAGAATATTGATTAAGAAATATATATAAAAAAAGCTCATAAATGGAGAAGCAGGGAGGTTTTTTAAATCATGTCTTTTAGCACAATAAGGTTTTCAAACTTTAACACAGTAATGTTTTAGAACCATAATATTTTAAGATAATCTTATAAATTAAAACAGTTGAAATGAATAAATACACAGGCTAACAAGTGTCTACTACTTACCCATTTCCAGCTAAGGCCTCTCTTGTTTTCATTGGCAAGGTGCTTATTTCCAGCAAGTGCTTCAGGGAAGTAACTTCCTCTTCAGTACCAGGGACAAATATGGAAGGAAAGCATGCTTCGAAAATTCGCTCCAGGCGGTTTAATAAAGCTGTCTGTATCAAAACACCCCCCAAAGGTTTATTTTCATTTCTCTAATTTTAATAATGTCATAATTTTATCATTAACAGACACAAAGACACATATACACACTCTGCCCACTACTGTAAGAGAGGAAAACTACTACCAGTCAGATGCAGGAAATACTGAGTAAAAGAAGCATAACTATTCACAGAATAGCTGTTTCAAATGATTAAATAATCATGGTGATATAGTGGTGACAAATAAATGGTACTTTATAAACATTATTTTACTTAATCCATTTTAAAATTCTACAAAGAAGACATTATTACCCAATTGTAGAGTGAACAAGCAATCTCAAAGTTTGAATAATTTGGACAAAGCAAAAACAAAAAACTAGACAGCATTCACATTCTATCACACTGGGATGTTTCTTACTACCATTCACATACTCTAGATTTAGGAACAATGAGATTAGATGCTTTTTCTTGGGCATAAACACTTAAATTTTGAAAGTCTTTCAGAACTACCTCTGCTGCTAATAGAACGAAGTAGGAAAGAATGTCTCATTTTTTACTGAGAAATTCAACAACTCATTTATTTGGACGATGTGTTATCTTTTAGAAATTCCATTTCTCTACTCACCTATGGTAAGTTCATACGTATTTTTTAATAGAACACTGTCTTTCCTCCAAGCAAAGCCTGTGTATTCCTGAGTAATTTCACCAAGAATACTGACTGAGATTTTGGATTACTGTCATTAATTAAAACTTGTTGGGTTTAATTTACATTTTTGGGGTACTATTAGGTTTATTCTACCTACACATGCAACCTACAATAACATTGATTCTCACTTTCCTAACTGCATTTCAGATAATGTAAAATTGAGTAGTAGCTCAATTCACTACTTAGACATCAAATAGGAATATAAATTGTTAATAATAAATTGTTGGACGAATAAGTGTACTTCTGAAAAGACACCCGGTGTATAAGAGTACGCTACATCATGGTGCTACTTCTTGCCAAGTAACACAAGTTAACACTTGATTTCTGCTGTTCCGTATAATCGGCAAACGAAAAAATGAAAACCAAAAACAAAAGTTGTCACAAACATATTTTTCAAACCGAAATCTCTTTTGAAAGCAGTATCAGAGCAAAAAACTTAACACTGCATAATTGGTCTCAGAGTACTCTTCCGTTATCTCTCCAAGTTACTTTAATGTCTTCTTTAAATTCATGTGTGTGATATGAGAAAAGTTCTCAGTATCAATTATGAAACCTACAGTAAAGAGTAAGCTCAAGATCCCAAGGCTTGTGAAACTTGAGTGTGTCAAGGGGACCGATGCTTACGCACTTCAACAGAGGGAATGGACAGACTTTACTTTTAAAGGGATCAGATAACCATCTAATTGGAAACATGAGGAGCGTTGGCATCTCCTGGGCAGGGAAGGTAAACAAAAACTCACATATGACCAAATTTTATTTCTCTGTATATTAAAACAGAATCTTTTTGGTATCCTCTTTGTTATCCTGTGAATAGGATAGAAAAAATATTAATCAAGGGAAAAAAGAAATGACCCCAAAACACATTCAATCACATGGGCATAACTACCAGGTCTTAGGTATACCAGTGAGCAAATTTTAAAATTAGTGGAATGTACCTGAGGAAATAGAACATCACATTAACCTAATCAACTTGTTTTTATTTCTTCTCCCATCTTTTCTCATAAAGAACATAAATGACATGGAAATTTTAAAAGAAAGTTCCATATGTCCTTAAGATTACATATTACATTTGACTGCTTCAAATCTTTGGTTGACTTAAGTGGGCAACTTCTTCTATATAGGGCCAGATAGAAAGTAAATATTTTCGGCTTTGCAGACCATCCATAAACAAATAAGTAGGTGTGTTCCAGTGAAACTTCACTTACTAAAACAGGAGGCAGGATAGATGTGTCTTGTAGGCCATAGTTTGCCAAACCAAGATAGAACAATAAATAAAGAACAAATAAAGATTAAAAAAAACAGTCCACTAACTGAATAGCACTGCTGAATAGCACTCCTTAACAATTCAATAAGAAAGCAGCTAAGAGAATTAGCAAAGATTTTGATTAAAATTAAATTTCCTCTGACATATTACTTTTAAAAGTATATCAATTACCAACTATCTACTAGACCAGTTTGATAGTAAAAAGGCATTCTCTAAAAGGAATTTCTTAGAACCATATTATCTTATTCATGGTAATAAATAATGCCAAATTTCATTTATTAGTTACTTACTGGTTAATTCCAGTAAGTAAATGGCTGATGTAATTATAATGCTTCACTAGAGGACTGTGGACCCAAGGGGCTGAGACTCAAAAGGTGGATAACCAATTAGAGGATTCAAGACTTGGCACCCAGTGTATACTCAAGATTTGGTAGCTTTAATCACTGCTAGGTTATTATATAGATAACATATATGCACACAGTGGCCTGCTAGGGAATAAAAATGTCAAAACTAGGTCCAAATCTCACTAAGGATGTTTCTCTACCACTATTTGACACTCTAAATCATTTTGAAAAAACTTGTCTCAATCTATCAATTTATACCATACAGGAAATTAAATCATCCAAATATTTTGCATCCTCCCCAAGATCCTCCTATTGGGTTGGGAAAAAAAAAAGTACCTAATTTAAAAACATCTTCAAGAGCTGCTTTGTAGTCTTTGAAACATTTCTAGTCATTAAAGGATTCAACTATTAACTGAAGTGATGATTTTACTTAAAAAAGCAAATTATTTCATCTAACACTACAATTCGTAGTTTTCAACAAAGCAAATTGTAAATTTTTACTAAGGAGTCAGTGCTGTATTCTAAATTAATGTGAGGGTAAGAAATAAATGCACATGCACTTAGCATACTAAATATTTAGATGAGGTTATAATAGTAACTAAATAAAATAACATTCACACCAATTACTCGAATTTTAAATGCCTTTGACCTCAAAGAGGAAAAACAGTCATCAGTTCTCTCTTGAATTTAGAATTAGGAAACTGGTGACTGATTAGCTGAATACCAGTTTATGTAACTAGTCATGTCCTTTAATTCGTACAGGTCTCAAATTTAAGCCTGGCAAACAGCAGCGCATTTAGCCATTAAACATTTTAAGAACTGGTACCTCTGATAAATGTAGGGTTGAAAGTCAAATGCTCTTCAAAGCAGGTGCCAGACTCTCTTTTGATTTTCTCTATTTCTGTCTAGTGCTAGGAAGCCAGAGGAAGAGGTCGGCTACTAGCAGAGAAGAGCACTTAGGTTCAGTAGAGTTCCTACTTGTCGAAACTATTCTGAGAATGGAAATTTGCCCAAAGCAGCAGCTTTGCTCTCAAAATAGTTTGATGGGTGAGTATATAGCCAGAAGTAGAGGTTCTCCCACACAAATTCTCATTTGCCTATTACTTCTCACTATTTGCCAAAAAATCCAGTTGGCAATACTATTTCTTGGACCTTTAAAGACCATTTTCCAAGTTCGTTTCTGAGATTATTAACACTTACTGAGCATTTACGTGCAAAACATTGTGCTAAGCACATTTACATGTGCAATTTCATTTTATCTTCATAAGAGTTTTGAAATAAGTACTTTTATTATTTTTTAAGTATGAGGTTCAGCAAGTTAGTGCTGAAACATGAATCTGAACTTAGCAGTGGGATTCCAGAGCCTTGCTTTTAAGCACTATACTATACCCAAGACCAACTTACCCAGTAGGCACAGTGCATAGGGCCCACAATAATTTTAGGGATTCATGAAAATGTTTTAATACCTAATATTAACATACTCATCTTTATATCAAGTTATAAAATTTAAAATATCTTTTATGGGGAAGGGGCTCACAAAAGTCATAGGTGGCTTTGGCTATACTACTCTCCATCCAGAGGTACACTGGCTTTTATAGCATTTCTCACTTCATATGTATTTATTTTCCTATCAGGGGCCTTTATTACCTTGAATGTCTTTACATTTTAATTTTTCTCAAACCAGACAGGATATCTGGGAAAGTGAAAACAAGTAACTACCCAATGGTTTAATTCATCAATGGGGGCAAAGCATCATCCATGAATTCATTTATACTCACTCCCAGTTCTGTCATATCTTCTCTGAGGTTGGAGGAAAAAAGCCCTGGAGTACATAAGCAGCAATTTTCATTTTACCCACTTGTGCAAATAAATCATATTATTTAATGCAGAGCTTCCCAACTGGTATGGCTTGGTAACAAACAGGTTACAAGTTTTCCAAAAATCTTAAAAGCTATATATAGACATATGGTGTTCCCTCTTGTGATGGTTAATATTAGGTGTCAACTTGACTGGGCCATGAGGTGCCTAGGCTTTTGGTCAAACATTATTCTGGGTATGCTTGTGAAGGTGTTTCTGGGTGAGATTAACATCTGAACTGGAATACTGAGTAAAGCAGACTATCCTTCCCAATATTAAGTGGGCCTCATCCAATTATTGAAGACAGCTTGCAGACTACAGATCTTGAGATTTCTCGGCCTCCAAAATCACATAAGCCAGTTCCTTATAATCTCCCCCACCTCTGGTCCTTCCTTCTTTCCTTCTTTCCTCTATCCATCCATTCACCCACCCACTCATCCTCCTGGTTCTGTTTCTCTGGAGAACACTAATATACCTCTGTTTTATAAGTGACTACGTTGGAGTATGAAAAAGATTAAGTGCATTGAAAGTATTCAGTTTTTCAAAGGGGTGTGTAAGACCAGCATTTAAGGTCTTATAGACTCTGGTTCTTATGTCACTTAAATGCAAACCTCCTTTAAAGTATCTTGTATTTAAGGTAATTCCTAAAATACTTTCGACATATTTTTAGTTAGTTTTCCAGAAGTTAATTATTGCCAATAGTTTGAATATTGACAGCATTAGGTCTTGCTCTAAGTGGATGTACGTTTAGAAGAAACATAAATCTACTGGGTAATTTAATCTTCCATTTAAGAGGATACCTTATGCCTCACCACCATTAAATATTAAATAAGATATCAAGTACAGGCTATAATTGTATATTTATCAATCCCCAATTTCAAGCTATATGAGTGACCATGCTCTTGAAAGATGCTTTGCTCTTTCTGCACAATTTCTGGATAATCTAATGAAGTATTTCCATCTATTTTGGAATTAAAGTTCAGAATTTCAAATTTTCTGAGGGAAAAATAACAAAAGAAATTGCTATCCAAGTACTTCAAATAAAAGAGCTATAAGGCCAAAATCATAATTTCTTTCTTTTATAAAAAAATGAGATATAATTGACATATAACATTAAATTACTTTCAGGTATACAACAATTCGATACATGTGTATATTGCAACATGATCACCACAGTGAGCCTAGTTAACATCCATCATCACACAGTTACAAATTTTTCTTGTGATGAGAATTTTTAATATCTACTCTCTTAACAACTTTCGAGTATAAAATACAGTATTATTAACTATATGTAGTCACCATGCTATACATTACATCCCTAGGACTTATTTTATAATTAGAAATTCGTATCTTTTGACCATTTAATTTCTTTATTTTGTTGCTTATGGTTTGTCATAAGTTCAAATGTTCACCCACAGAAAGGAAAACTTGCATAAATCTTAAGCAGGTGACTAAATAAAGGTGAAGAGTAGGGTTAGTTAAACTCAGTTTGAGAATGCTGACTTCCTGGTGAACAGACCAATAACTTAATCTCAGAATAACATAACCCAAAGTACTAGTGAGTCTTTTTTTTTTTCTTTTTCTGATACTCTTAATTTTTAGAGCTCTCAAAACAAATCTTAATTTTCCCAGTAGCATTTTCAATTATATGGCTAATAAGAAAAAATTACTCATAGCTTCCTTTTCTATAGTCAATAGAAAAAGATTACTCATTAATTAGCTAGCATCTCAAGTAACATCCAGAGCAATATTTTTTGAATTTTGTAAAAGCTCAAAAGTTAAATGCAGTGCTTATAATATTATCTCCTTTACTATACATCTAAGAAAAAGGCATCTTGGCTATTTTAATCAAGGTTCCTGTCTGGAACCTTAATTAATAGTTAAAAAAAAAAAAAAAAAAGAAGAAAGAAAAGAAAACTGTTAAAACAGTATATATAATGGTCTTCTGGAAAAAAATACTGCTTTGAAAAGTAAGGAGGATTTTGTTTTTTTGCTGTCATTTTGTTTTGTTTTAAATCTTAGTCCAAAAAGTGAAGAAGAGTTTTGACCTCTTTCCAATTTGTACATAATAGAGATACCACTACTTGTTTTTCTGTACAATTAATACAAGAGAATGAAATATACCGAACTCTGAGTTCTCAGAAAAAAAAAAAATTCACTGTAGAGGAAGAATATTTCTCAATAAATGGGCATGTATGACTCTTACATCAAGGCTTGAACCATCTGAGGCTTGCTGGACCCACATCTGAGAATTAGTTTGACTAAGAACGTTTTATAAGTTTGAAAGATTTCTTTTTGGCTGACTTTCCTCTACCTTAGTAACAAATTATTGCAATAAAGTTGCAATAACTGATTGTCTCTTGACCCAAAAAAGACATATTTTATTAAAATGTGGAGATATCTTTTCGATAGGCTAAAAAAGGAAAGTACTAAAAAATAGGGACCTGGACAACGTCACACACCAATTATAGTGAAAAGTCGAAATTTGAAATGATATCCACACCATTTGTCTGACTTCACAAAACAAAGAATTATTCTCTATGTTTGTTTAAATTAACTGAGCTCTGAATTCTAAGACTCTCGCAGCATTCCATTAAAGCAGAATTTGCACAAAACCACTTGATAGTACTCTGTTCAAGATTGAGTTGTAGCATCCAGGTAAGACTGGACAGGAATAGATCATTAAAAATTTTACCATTAAACCTAACATTTACTGTCATTACACGAGGATTTGTGTGCTGTCCCTAACACTGCAGCAACTAGGAGAAACATTTTAAGAAAAATATTAATAAATCTAATCTGAAGATTAATGTACTTATTCCGAAGATCCTGGAAAAGGAAGAAACTGCAGGCCACAAGCCTCCTTCACAGCAGCAGGATAAGAATAAAACTTACTTTCAACTACTCAAGTTACTTACTTACTCGTGATGGGCTTACTCATTTCCCTATCTGAACTTTCTTCTAAACTTTTCTTCCAGCCCCTTTCCAATATCCAACTCCAAGTTCTGCTCATTTTGCATAACCCGTACAGCAAAAATAAAAACCTAAGGACTGAGCCAAACAAACCTCAGGAAGTCTAAATGCATCTTGCCACGTTGATTCAGTTTTTGTTTTATTTTTACAAAACAGAATCATACTACAAAATTCTTATTTTTTTGTCAAATTTTTTCACTCATTTTAAAATTTACTGTCATTTTATCTTCACAAAAGTCCTTTGAAGTAGATAGTATCTCTTTTTTACAGACAGCTGAATTCAGAAGTAACTTGTCCTAAATCATAAAGCTTATAGGAGGCTGAGTCAAGATTCAAACTCAGATCTGCAAGATTCCACAAAGCCTATATAATTTATTACCTCCTATATTAAGTTATCAAATTATACATAAATAAATTCAATCAACTTGTATGATGCCGAAAATTCCTTTCTGAAGTGGTCATATTTTTAAGAATTCATTATCTGATGATGTTAAAAGTTATAAGGCTATAAAAATTAAAGATCGCCTAATACTAGTGTCACCTATACTCTGGTAAGACGAAACTAAACAGGGAAAGGATTAGGTCAAAACTAACAGTGTTTGCTTTGTATTATATAATTAATACACTTCTTGTTTAAAATGGCAAGCTTTTGCCTCAATAATAAATTCTCCATGAGAAATAATATACATTAGCCAAACCATGTATGTAATAACTGAATTAACAAATTAAGCTATTCAGACACTTAAAGTCAAATGAAAGTTATTAGCTGTGCGCACCAACTGGTAATACCATAGTTTAAACAATATCTTCATATATCAAAGGCATCAAAGCAATGATGTATAACCATTTCAATTAACATTCAGAGTTTAGATATATTTCCAATGAAAAGTGGTTTGCTTAGCAAAAGATAACTGGAGTAGTTTATAGATTTTGATTTTATTCTCAGTATCTTTAAAATAAGTTTGTCAACCAAGTGCTACATATATCAATTATATATAAAGCAGTTATTTTCAAGTGTTCTCTTCCACACCCCTAGGGCTGAGAAAAAGTACAACTCAGGTATCAAGCTGCACTCCTAGGGGCTACTTTAGGTCAAAATAAATCGTAATAAATCTTTTCTGAGTCTGGAACTGAAAAGGATAAAAGTACAGGGGCTGAGAGGTAAAAAACATTCTCCCTGACATACCTATGCCTTAAGAAGAGTAATCATAAATGTGCATTTGTACGCAATTATAAGCAAATAAATACAACCACAATAAGTTAACCCATGGTTGTTTCTTGTTTTAGGTCTGAACCTTAATCCATCTTACACCTTTACCCCAGGTCTTTTAGTAGTTGTTAAATTATGAGGTCTAAATCTGCTTTTTTCAAATTCTTTTCTATCTTTCAATTCCCTATAGCCTTCAGCACAGGTTGAGGTTTCAAATTCTGCTTGCTCTCTCCTGCAATCAAAACAGTACCTTCAATTTCCCAGGTCTTTGGTAGACAAAATTAAGAGACATTATTTTCTGAAGCTTAAAAAAAAAAGTCTTCTATATCTCAGTTTAACATTCTTTTACAATCACTATAAAGGTAAAAACTGAAGGATTCAGTGGAAATTAATTAGCTAATTAATGAATTTTTACATAAGTGATATTTATATTCATCAAAAAACCAAGTTGATGCATTTTGGTAAATATTAAAAAACTCACTGAGAAAAAGAAAAACCTTACTGAGCATTATTATAGGACTGTCTAAGGTTTACCAAAGGGTTGTGAAAAATGCAACTAATCTACAAATAGGAAACCATTCCGTATCATAAAGAGACTCCTTTAACAGGTACCCAGTTTAAAAATATTTTTTGAAAAGCTAAGTCAGAAGTCTCCACAGCAATTGATATGTCACACGAAAGAGAGAAAACTAGTAAATACCTGAACCGAAGTGGCTGTTTCCTGTAAATGACGACCGATAACTGCTCCTTTGGAAGTTACTAATGGGACACTGTACGTTTTGGGGGTTCCCAGAGTGTCGCTCTTTTCATCTGTCCTATGTGACTGCCAGGCTTCCTTTCGATGAGATTCAGCAGCCTGCTGGTCTCCAAAAGCAGCCCAAGAGCAACTATCTTTCTGGCCATCCTCAAAAGCATTCCACTCTCCAACTTGGCTAGGACCAGCTGAACTGAAGTCCGCAAAATCATCAAAGTCTTGAAATGCACTGCAGTCACCTTGAATATTTGGCACAGAATCAAAATCTCCAAACTCACTCTCGATTTTCAATTTTGAAACAGGTTCAGCACCTGTAGACTTTCTTGCCAACTTACATTCCTCTGATAAACTATCAGAAGTCTGTTTTTGGTCTGACTCAGTAAATATAATTTCCTCTTGGCAAGAAACAGCATTTGTATCCCCAAATTCTCCAAAGTCATCACCTGCTTCACTAAAATGTGGAAAGTGCTCTGAGGATTCTTCAAAAGTGACATCGCTCATTGAATCTTGAGTACTAGTAACAATAGGTGGAGTTGTGCCACTGGCTGTACCAAAGTCACCAAAATCATCCTCATTAGTATCATTGCAAGTCACAAAGTCGTTACTACTATCATCATTTTTTACGCTTAGAGAATCATCCGAAGCGTTTTCTTCTGTAGGATCAATGCTGGGGCTCTGAGAATCAGTAAACTTTCTTTCTTCTTTGGAAGAACTAACTTCATCATCAGCATCAAGAGTTTTAATAGAGTCCATGCATAGGTCAACACATTTAGTAGTAAATAAATCAAGTTTTTCCTCAGTTTTGCATTGTTCTCTCCTACTGGCTTCTGAATTATCAGCTGAGTCTACCAAACTCCAAGCCTTTGATTGAACATTTGAATTTAAAAATTCATCCGGTTGCAATGTTGGAAGGCCTTGTTCTTCAGTAATGAAACCTCTGTTACTCTTCATGCTTGTTTCTGAAATGCTAACCTGATCCTCTCCATCAGTGTCTTCTTTATCATCAAAGCTTCTACCCAAAGATGCTCCTTTTACAGAATTCAGTTCATTGACTCTATTAATTTTATTGTTTTCCTGTATGGTTAGTGCTTCTCTATCATTTAAAGTTGCACATCCTATTTCTCCTTCTAGCTGTATCCTTTCCTTTTTGGAAAATGTGGCAAAATCTGCAAATTCCTCAGCAGGACTATGTACACAGTCTAAATTATACTCAGTACTGTGAGTGCTAAGAGGCTTTCTTCCTTTTGAATCGGTTACAGTGTCCAGATCATCTGTTCCCTGAGGATTTACAGTTTCCAATACTGCAAACCCATTTGTTAGAATCTCCAGACAAGGAGGCTTTTCACCATTGCAGCTCTCTAACTGTTTGTTTTGATGAACAACGTTCATATCAGTTCTAAAATCTTCTGGAGAGAAACTTTCAAGTGTTCCAACATTCTGTCTTTGCTCCACTACTTTATTTAAATCTCCTGGCCTTTCTATGCCATCAATGGAAGTAGCTAAAGTTTTAGATGAAATTATTTCTTTGCTGGTGGTAGAGAGTAAAACAGACTGCCCTTTCACAGGAGATGAAAGTTCAGCAGTGATGTCCTTATCCTTACCATTTTTAATGGACCTAAAGCTTGTAAGGCTGTCTACATTTTCTGAGAAATCATTAATTGGCATAAAATGGTTTGAAGGTACAAACTCTTCCTTGGGACGAGTATAATCTGGTGTATCAAAATCAACAAACCCTACACCAGAAGGGCTAACTTCTGAAAACCCACCAAATTCCCCAAATTCATCATCATCTTCATCCTCGGCTCCATTGTCTAGTGGTGGTGGGGATGAAGAGTACATTCGAATGATGTCTGGCTCCATTCTTCAGTTACTTTCAAATAATTAATTTACACCTGGAAAAAAAAAAAAAAGATTTTTTTTTTGGATGGGAAAGGTGACATATAATAAGATCTTTAAAAATTCTCTAAGCTACTTTAAAACAATGCAAATTTACAGTGCTCTGTCTTGTATCTTTTAAACTATTTTTCTCTTGGGTGAGATTACTTTTCTCAGCTATCATAATATGCCAAAAAAAATAATTTTCTCTCTTCTAGTGTATATTTCCAAGGGCACTGGTAGTACATTACTAAATTTGGGGATTCCTGAAAATTTCCAATAAACACTTACAAAAGTACATCTAGAAAATTCTCTCTAGGGACACTTGTTCTCTTAAGCTCTCTTTCTAGTTTACTAGGGACTCAAGGCTTGCCTTATGGATGTGTATGAGTTCTTTATTAAAAAAAGACACGGAAATCTTATCTCTAATAATTGCTACAAATATTTTCTTCACTTTGCTTTTCAATGTTTATTTCTGACCCAAGTTGATTTTGTTGTTTTACTACTTTTTTAAAGAGTAGTTTTAGGTTCACTACAAAAGGGCAGAAGGTATAAAGATTTCCTATATGCCCCTGCCCCCACTCATGTACAGCTTTTTCTATTATGACCATCTTCCACCAGAGTGGTATATTTGTTACAACTGATGATCCTACATTAACACATTATCATCACCCAAAGTCCATAGTTTATATTAGGGTTCACTCTTGGTGCAGTACACTCTATGGGCTTGGACAAATGTATAAGGGCATTTTTCCAACATTATAATTTCACTGCCCTAAAAATCCTCTGTGTTCCATCAATTCATCTCTCCTTCCTCCCTGCCCCTGGTAACCACTGATCTTTTCACTGTTTCTATAGTTTTGCCTTTTCTAGAATATCATATAATTGGAATCATACAGCATGTAGCCTGTACACTGTATGGTCGGCTTTTTTCACTTAGTAATATGCATCTAAGGTTCCTCCATGGTTTTTCACAGCTTGATAGCTCATTCCTTTTTAGCACTGAATAAAACTCCATTGTCTAAATATACCACAGTTTATTTATTTGTTTTTATAACTTTCAATTTCGAAATCATTTAGGTCTCACAGGAAATTGCAGAGAGTTATTGTGTATATTCCTACCAGTTCTCTCCAATAGGGTAAATAATGATAGTACACGATCAATACAGGAAACTGACATCAGTACACTATTATCTCTGCTACAGGCTGTGTTTAGATTTCACAAGTTTTTTGTGTGTGTTTTGTGTGTGTGTGTGTGTGTGTGTGTGTTAGTTTTATGAATTTTTATTACATGCATAGATTAGATCTGAGTAACCATTACTACAATTGGGATAAGAACTGTTGCAAAAATAGTTCACTAATATTCATCTATATAAAGAAAACTCCCTCGTGTTACCCCTTAATAGTCACATTCTTCCCTAAACTCTAACTCCTGGTAACCACTGATCTATTCTCTATCATTATAATTTTGTTACTTCAAGAGTGTTATATAAATGGATTCATACACTATGTAACCCATTGAAGTTCACTTTTTCCACTCAGCTTAATACTCTAGAGATCCATCTATGTTGTTGCATGGATCAGTAGTTCATTCTTGTTTATTGCCAAATAGTATATTGTAAATATGTACCAGTTTGTTTCTTCATTTACTCCATGTAGGACATTTGGGTTGTTTTTTTTTTAAATTTTACAATTACAAAAAATTGCTATCAACATTTATGTACAGATTGTTGTGAAATTTTATTTAGAAAAGAGGTTTCAAGGGAATATGAGTTTTCATTTCTCTAACATAAATATCCAGGAGTACGAATGCTGAGTCATGTGGTAAGTACATGTTTAACTCTATAAGAAACTGCCAAACTGTTTTCCCAAATTAAATTTTAAGGAGTCAAATCAATTATCATTTCACTGGTAATTTTCATCATTATTTTCCTATCATATAAACGTAAGATTTAATAAATCGTATTCACTTTCATTTTATTTTACTTTCAGAGCATTTAATATTTAATTTTTAATATGTCTAGAACTTATTTCAGTTATGATCTAAAGCAAGGGTCTAAGTAAAATATTTTTTCTAAATAGTCAAGCAATTATTATAATCCCATTTAGAGAATGATCCTTCCCATACCCATTAGTTTATCATGCCTTCTTTCTTTATACATTTAATTCTTAAATGGAATCTATGTCTTGGTTATTCTGTACTAAAATCAAAAGCACCACAAGACAGACTAACATTAACAGCAAAGGGAGGATTAATAAACAAAGTCCTAGAATAAAATCAACGCATAAACAATGAATAGATACCTTCCGCAATTCAGATGGTCAAACGGACACATGAAGGAAAGTTTATTACAAAATTCAAACAGTTTTGCAAGCTAAAAAGAAAAAAATCACTTTCTTCCAATTATCAGAATAAAACTGCATAAGATCTTCCAGTTTTAGGGAGAAGGTACCTTAGAAACTATATTAATTTAGAGATGAAGAAAATGGGGCTTCCTGGTGACCAACTTTCCCAAAAGTCACATAGCTGGTTAGTAGAGAATCACTTTAGAATTTTGAAAAGGATCTTTAAGGTCAATGACTGGTCTTGAGAGAAGAAATAAGCAAATCAGGAGAGAAAAGTCAAAGACCCCATTGTAATATGTCTACTTTAAATTGTCTTCCTTACAAAATTAGCATCATAAAGAAGGACATAACTGCTTTAGTTCTGAGATACCTTCTTTTTCTGCTATGACTTAAAGAGAAAAGAAAAAAAAAAAACAGTAAAAGAATACAGAAATCTTATTTTCTTCCCTTGTCTAGAGTCCTGATAACCTCTTCTAAATGTTCAGTGTACCAGGTAATGTAACCTCTAACAGTTTCCCTGTAATTATGAAGTTCCTATTATTTAAAAATATTCAGTTAATAAAAGTGTGAGAAATGAACACTTGCACACACATACTGATGGTGTGTATATAAACTGCTACAAAGCTTCCAGAAAGCAATCTGCCTATATTATACAAACTCTTAAAAAAAGGGGGGTGGGGGAGGGCAGGATAAAGCAAAATGCTCCAAAGGAATTATTTAAACAAATTATGCTATATCCTTACCATAGCATATATGTAGCCATTAATATCATGATTTTCTTAAAATTTAAAAGCATTCATGATGGGAACATGTCAAAAGGACATAAATGTCAGCTTGACAGGGCTCCAACTGGTTAAATCAGTGTCAACTTGAACATCAAAATAAAAATAATTGATTATGATCTAATGAATAAAATAATAAACTGTCAGTCCTCAAAGATAGGAGCATATAAGTAAATAAATTGAAAGCTGGATGAGGAACAGGATGTTGCATAGCTTCAAAATACCTCCTCACAACAAACTCAATTATAAAGGGAAAAACTTTATAGTGGTAAAGCCTGACACTTAATCAAGTGATCAAAATGAGTATCACTAGTAATGGGAATATCAAAATCATGTATCAAGGGACAAGATGCAATGAGAACACAGGATCACTTCCAGAATATTCCTGCCAAAAATACATAATCTGAATTGATTCACGAGGAAACTTCAGTAAAACTCAAATTGCACTGTTTTCATCTCTTGGCTACTGTGACTAACGCTGCTATGAAAATGGGTATATAACATACCTTTTTTTTTAAAAATCATGTCAAGGGACAAGATGCAATGAGAACACAGGATCACTTCCAGAATATTCCTGCCAAAAATACATAATCTGAATTGATTCACGAGGAAACTTCAGTAAAACTCAAATTGCACTGTTTTCATCTCTTGGCTACTCTGTG